ACGGGGAATGTTTGTAGAATAAGGGGTCTTGCAATCGGCCAGTTACCCTGCAGAGGATCACGTTACCCAAGGAGCAACGCTCATGACTTGCTGGATCCCTAGGAGTCTTACTGGTACTAAAAGCCAGTCCAGACAGAACAAGTAAATGCAGAGAGAATGCATCAGCAGAGCATCCAACTCCAACTGAAGCGTGCGGAGCAGGGACAAGCAAAGACCCAGGAAGCCCGAGCTGCTATCACATATCAGACACCCGAGCCAAGAGGCACGAGGCACCTTGTAACGCAACGCTGTAATATGATTATGCAAGCGCAATACCTCGGCTGTGCGGAACCTTCCCACTAAGTGTAAATATAGCAAGAGAAGCCTCGTCGAATGTATTTAGCTGCAATCTTGCTCCCTGTTCTGACCTCGCCTGCTAAATCAGGAACCCCTGCACTTCTGCAGGAAGGGGTCAGGGACCTCCACAGGAGGAAGTCTTAGGACAGAGGAGTCAGTCTAGAATCACCCGCAGCCCAGAAACGAAGTTACCTGCAACAGAACAATGGGCTGGCACGCACTGTAGTTCCACAGGCTTAACTGCACTGCTTGGACAGGTCTGTTGCTCCATTACCCGACTGTCACGGGTTTACTGTCCCATACTTCTCTAGTTAAGGGATGTTTGAGAAGAGCCAGGACTATTACACCCACAGGAAGATGCAGGAGACAGACAGCTGGTAACTCACACCCACTCTTGAAGTCTTTCCTACCTTGGGGAAAGTGCAGTGGCAGGCCTTCTACACCCTCTCCTCAAAACAGAGCTGCGAGACAGTCATTCTGCTTCTCAAAGCAAGAGGGACTCCAGCTATAACTCCTGGAAAAAAAAAATACATCAGAAGAGGCAGTGAAAGGAAGCTCAGTGCACATACAGATGGATGATCAGCACTGAGAATGACAAAAGATTTTGTTGTTACCACTGGGCAATCGGGCCATATTAGCTCAAAACTTGCATCCTCATAGGGCTTCAGAGCCAAAGACAGAAGACAGATGTTTTTAAAGTCATCCCATCTATTCCTCTCAGATTATAAACAGGTATGTTCAACCACCTTGTAAAGAAAACCAGAAAGAAACCACAAATATAGAACGTCTGCTCCTTAAATACCTGCTCCAGCCTCTACAGTGGCCCAGGCTACCTGCTCGGCTTTGTATTTGCATCTGGCTAAAAGCACATGTAGGAAACACAGCTCAGCTGGAAAGCAGCGGCTCATTAAACCACAGCTTGATCACTCAGAAGCCCCAACCGATGGCCACAGACAGACCTGTAGCCACTCATGGGGTAACACAGAGAAAAGCACAATTTCAGCTGGCCAAGCCCAGTGCAGTTTGGCTGGAGCTGTCAATGCATTGAAGCATCTTATCCAGCTAACAAGCACTTTAACCATCCCAATTAGATATTGAAAGTGTTTCAGTCATTGCCCACCTGAACACAGAAAACAGCAGCAGCTACCACATTCCACAAAGCATCCCGTGACACACCGACAGCAGTGCCAATAGCATGGAGACTCAACAGCCTGCAGCTCCCTGCAGAGTCCAGCTGGCCTGTGCACCCCCTTTGCTACAGCCCACGCAGCAACTCCCAGAGGAACCGAGCCCTCCAAGGCAGAGTTATCGTAAGCCCGAGATACACCAGCTGGCACTGTACCAGGGGAAGGAGGGCATGGAAGGAGGCCTGAACAGGAAGGATATAAACACCTGATGCATTTCCCTGCTCTAACTTCCATAGCATTTCACAGAAACGGCAAATTCTTAACAAAAAGTGATGTACACGCAGCACACAAAGCTCCCGCTGCACATTAGCCAAGCTTGAAGAGTGTGAGGGCTCCCACGGGGATGCACATCACTACACACACAGCGGAGGGAAGAGAGGCAGTGATATTAAATATATGTTTCCATTTTATTTAGAATCATCCACTATCATCCCCATCCCAGGAACTTTCCATACATTTAACTTTTATTCTACTATTTGCAGGAGAGACTTACCTGACAGAATATAGGCAGGTGCGTTGGAAATCAGAAACTGACTTTATATATTAAATATACATAAAGCCCTGAATCAAACCCCCCAACCCCTGCTTCTCATCCAGGCTAGCCTGAGCTCATTCCACTCTTTC